GGGGCTCAGTAGATGGACTTCCACCCCAGATCTGCTTTAGCTGATCAAAAAACTCCAATACGATTTTTCCACTTCCACTTCGAGATCCACTGGTAACTGCACTGGCAAAATTCTGCCTTATTTCCTTCAACTTTTCTTGAACGCGAGTGTAGCCCTTCTTTATTAACTCCTTATCGATCTTCTGTCTTCTCTGAATTTCAGCCATCTCCCCTTCATCGACCTGGTCCACAGGTGCTGGCATTGGTGTAATAACAGGCGGCCCGAAGAAAGTCGGTTCTTCTTCATAAATGCGAGCCATAGCTTCTCTGACGGCCTCGTACTGTTTAACCTTGTCTGCATTGAAGTCGATGTTTTTATACTCCATCTGAGCTTTGAAATTTGCGAGGCAACGAATAAGATTCTCTATTTTATCTCCTTTATTTCATTGACACCGTTTGTCCTTTATAGCGGCAGCCATCTTGTTTCCTGGAAAACAAAATCACTGCGCATGTCCAAGGTCACTTTTCAGCCCGGGCTGAAATTCCGGTTCGATTACATGAGATTTTTTCAGATTTTCAGGCCCGTTTAGCCGGGCTGAAAATCCTAGCCCGGTTTGAAAAACCGGGCTAGGATTTTTAGCCCGGGCTGAATTGCGCCCCGGGCTGAATCCCTCTCCATGTAATCGACAATTTAATTTTAAGAGGATTTGTTTCAGAAGCCGGGCTGAAGTTCGCCATGTAATCAGGCCCTACGTTCTTGGTTTTGAAACTATTGTTGTTTCGATCTTGCAGACGTTGACAGTCCACAACGAACATGACAGTTTGCGAATCGAATTCTGTCATTTTAATAACCTCGGACATGCAAATTAGTATGCCAGACAGACTCAAGATTGTGTTTTGTAAGTTAGTGAACAGTTTTGGAGACTACCAGAGTTATTTTTTCACCACATGTGATGGAAGGCAAACAATTTGCCGAAATGACAGTCAATTCGGTGGAAGAGGAAATGTAATTCGAACATTAAGTAACATGGTTGTGCAAATTAGTGAGTCGAAACTTAATACACTGTTACGTAAGAGATTCCTGGCTGGGAAAGTGACACAACGTTACTAAAGCTGATCAATCCGTGTTTATTGCTGCTGAAATC